CCAACGGAAACCACGTTGGCCGTGACGTCGACTGATCAGAGAGAGAGTATCAACAGTAAAGTAAAACAACCGCAACAACAACTTATCAACTTTAACCTAAAAGCGCCACAAGGCTTACAAAAACCCCCCATCTTGGTTAAGAGATCAAATCGACACATCTACGAACAGTCAGTTTACTGTCCTTTAAGACAACAAAAGAGAGTTTTGCAACAAAGTATCGTCAGTCACATATCAGCTACTATCACCAGCTTCAGCACATCAACACACCATCAAACAACTTCCAACACATACATATACATCTTGCAAACGAAACAATGGACGTCCTTCGCATCACAATGTCTTCCGTTCACGGAACCCACAATCATCCAACAAACAACTCATCATCACCGTCAACTACCATTGCTGGATCACCTGCCCTATCAGCCGCAGGTTCAGCAGCTACAACTCCAAGCTTGTCTTCAACGCCTTCGTTAAGTTCCCTCCCAGGACCGACTCAACCTAGGTCTTCATTTGATGGGATTTTTAGTGGATTTGGGTTTCCGTTTTTGGGGGCTGCTGGACGGAGTAATAGTAGTCCTGCAGGTAACGGGCAGGAATCTGTGAGAACCTATGGTGTGGTTAGTATTTTTTGATGAGGGTTGTCAGGAAATCTGTCTCTTGATCTAAAGTTTAACCAATCTTTTTTCTGTGATATTTGAATTGAAAATAATAGGCTTCGACTACCGCCAACCCAGTTAAGAAGGATAAGAGCTGGATCGGATGGTGAAACGTGTTAAAGAGCGTTATCAGCCTTGATACCTCGTTGTTCTTCCTATTTACCTTCGTATCCTTTCGGTTTTTTTCTTTCTATTTCCAAAGTTCCTCTATATTATTATTGCTTATTGTGTTTTTTTTTTGCAACCTATCACAGAGTGCAAAAAGGAAAGTCTATTGTATTGGAATCCTTGGGGAGATGGATATATCTTTTTCATACATCTGAACCCGACCAACGTGACAGTTCAAATAAATGTACACTATGAATCCCAGTACCCCAAACCACTCCTTCTTCTCCATGTTCAACACCATCAATCGATATCCCTTCTTTACAAACTCTTTTCACTGGATCATCATCTTTCTCACTGTCCTCATCATGATCCTCATCATGATCCTCATCATGATCCTCATCCTCAATCTCACTATCAGTATCAGTATCATCATCAAAATCAACAGCCCCAACACAAACCTCCCCATTTACAAATCCAAATTCACATCCATCGATTTCCCGTCCTTTTAATTTCCATCTGTGCATTAGGATGTCGAGGTTCCGTCTTGCCGACCGTTCTTGATACGCTATTATCACTTTTGCGTTGGGGTTTTGAGATAGGAGGTATGAGATTGTTACTATTAGTTTTGAGAATTCGGGTCGATCGTAGAATAGGTCGGCTCCTATTATTAGATCGTAGGTGTTTGTTGCGTTATATATGAGGTTGTTTGTTTTGGTTTTGATGTGAGGTGGAAGGTTGTGCCGGGGGGATAGGTGGGATAAGGGTGTTGTTGAGAGGATTTGTTCAAATCCGGGAAACCATCCCCAGGTTAGTTCGCAGGTGTGGATTTCAGGTTCGTCTGTCCTAGAAGTGTCCGAGTTTGTTGTTGCTGGTTCAGCAGAATCATTCAATTGAAATCCATTATCTCTCACATTCCTTCTTGCAGTTCCTAACACTATCCCCCATTCAATATCCCCAACTTGATCATACCATCTCAACTTTACCAACTCCTCATTCGTAACAGTACTCAAATCAAAGGTATCCAGTTTCAATGGCAATACTAAATCTGTCATGACTACTAGTTTAGCTCCACATTTTGCAGATAGGATACTTGGTAACCCTGTTCCACAACCTAGTTCGAGGATTTTTTTGTTGTGGAGGTGGGTTTTTCGGTTGTTCCAGAGGTAGCGGGATAGGACTAGGGAGGAGGGCCATGGGTGGGTACCGTGGGTTCCGTGGAGGGGGTGGGTGATTGTTATTGTTGTTGGTTGGGTGCTGGTAGTGGGTGATGGGTGGAAGTTGAAGGTTGTTGAGGAGAGGAGGGATTTTGGGATTGTTGTTGTGGGGGTGGTGGTATTTTTTTGGTTGGATTCGGTGGGGTTGTTTGTGGTTGGAGGAAGTGAAGATGTTGATGATGAGTCCGTTTTGGTTGTGTTTGGTTGCGTTCTTGATCTATATGAAAGCAAGTTATCTTGCTCATATTCTATCTCACCATCTTTCGAATGAAGGCGATCGTTAGATGCATGCCCTTTGTTTTCATCATCGGTATCGCTATCACTCCCGTAGAAAGCCAATGAGGCCAGTGCGCTGACGCTGGCTCCGTTCAGCTTTCGTCTTTTCATATCGGTCAAAGTGTTCTGATCTTGAAAGTCGGTTGTTTGTCTGCAAATGAGTGGTTTTGAAGAAAACCTCCAGACATTTTCTATGGTCAAGCATTCAGACAATTTATTTTCACAACCCCCCCCCTTGTCGAATTCCCTGCCATCATTCGTTTGCAGCAAACTGCAAATGGGAAACAGACGGATGGCTTGCTTGAAACTCCACGCAAAAGTCCGCTTTGATCACTTGCCGCAATCAAGTGCCGCCGATCAGAAAATATAACCATCGACTCCTTCCGCTCAATCGGCCCCGCATCCACCGAATTATCCACTGTCAACGTTTTTTCGTTTGTATATTTATTTTCCCTGCTGCATTGAGACGGAAACCCTTTTCATAGACACAACCTCTGTTTGCATTTTTATCGCTTACATATGTACATTGAGTGAGTACAATATAGTGAACGCGTCCCCGCCCATTTTCACGGAACTGGTTGCCAATCACGATAACCCGCGGGTGTAAGAAAACAGCAGATTTTTTAATCTCTCTGATTTGAGTATTCTCTTTCGAGATTAGTTTGCTGCCGTCTTTGTCATCTCAGGTGAACAAGAGGACGGACCTGCAATATTTATACGAATCAGCATTTGATTATTTTCCCTCCAAAGATTTTTTTTGGAGAAGGAAAGAGACTTGTCAAAGCGACCTTCCTTCCTTCCCCCCCATGCCAGCCAGTGATCGTCCGGCTGGCGGGCGCGGGGGGGCGGCGGGGGGGGGGGGGCGGGGGGGGGGGGGGGGGGGGGGGG